TAAAGATTTTATTTATTTATTTGACAGAGACAGAGATAGTGAGAACAGGAACACAAGCAGCGGGAGTGGGAGAGGGAGAAGCAGGCTTCCCCTCGAGGAGGGAGCCCGATGTGGGACTCGATCCCAGGACCCTGGGATCATGACCTGAGCCGAAGGCAGACGCTTAACAACTGAGCCACCAGGCGCCCTAGAAAGCATTTTTAAAACATTCCAAATGTATGTTGATAGTATGGAGATTACTATTTTGCTAGAATTTAGGTATATATATATTTTTTCCTAGACCCACTAAATGTTCTTACATAGATACTGAATTAATGTTAAAAATTCATGCTAAAATTAATGCTAAAAATCTTTTTTAAGCCTCCTGAGTAAATATCTTCATAGTATATTAAGAAACTAACCCTGAGGAACAATAAGAGCTGTCATTGTACATTCTTTTAGGAGGGATTAATGGCTTCTCAAAAGAAACCCCATAGACAGAAATTTCTATACACATACTTCTTTTCTAACACATCTAGAAATATCTCTAGCTTAATAGCAAGAAGAAATCTGTCCCCTGAGAAGATTTTCTTGGTTTCTTACAATAAACCAGCCCAATGCCCACTTTATTTTATATTTACAGAATCTTTTACGGTTGGCATGAAACAAGCAATGTCCTAGTTAATTTAGCAACTTAAATTTGCAGCATGTTCCCTGGATCCAAAACTGTATAAACAAGATTTAACCATCTATAAGTACAACTAGAGATCGTGCTTTGTGTGTGTGCAAACAGAGATATTTATAGACACAGATGGAGAAACAAAGAGAAACAAATTTAGGGTAATTTCAGCACTAAAATGCAAGAAAATACACGAATGAATACTGATTTCATTCTATTTGGACAAAAGGAACTTTTTCACTCATCAGGTAAATGTGTTCTCTGCCTTGAGTGGTGGAGAGGGACACACATGTTTTGATGCCTAATAGTTTTTAATCATGTGACTTTACGAGTGTATGCAGGGGATCATTTGTTTTACAGATGAAAAAAGAAACAAACAAACAGGGGCTTAGATTAAATATGTCCTAGATCTCAGTGCTGCAGTGATTATTAAGGGTCAAATAAATGTCAGGACTATAGATACACAATAAAGCAATGTCTCCCCTCTTCTTTACTTCACTCTAAAGGAGCCCTTAGATGATGACTATTGGTGATGGTATCTGAATTTTGCAAAGTGACTACTATCTGCTATGTACTGGGCTACATGCTTTATATACAGTTCCACGTTTGAGTCAAAGCAGGTATCAAGAGCAGATAGCAAAATTTTATAGATAAGAGGTGAAGGCTCAAAGAAAGGAAGCCACTTGCTAAGATAACAGTAAATGGCAGAAGTCATTTAAAACCCTTACTTGTTTCATTCTAAAATACCTCTCTTTTTCACCAGACAAAACAACCCCATTATATTTCCTTTCCTGCCCGTAACAGGCTGTGGCCTCGGTATCAGCCTCCTGGCTTTCCATGGACCGGTGTGGGGAAGGTGTGAGGGCAAAGGGTGAAAAGAGGCAGGGAGCTTACACTGGAGAACATGGAAGAACTTTGCTCACATGTGGTTCCATGGTGTGAACCTGAGAAATCAGACGCCACTGGACCAAGGACTGAGGACTAAGGACAGGTAGCGCCAGCCTCCTGGAAGAACATTTTGCACTCATTTCAGCTCTTATTCCAACTCTCTTTCCTAAGACCTAGCCAAGAACTAAAACAAGTTGCGTGACTGTTCATGTCTACACAGAAATGCTGATAAAATTTTTGGTGTCTCCCAAAAATATTATTTCTATTAGGCATGATAACAACCGATGCTAGATTTTTTCCATTCTGGTGAAGTAAGCAAACCTGTGGACACTGTTATATATACCAGGGTAATAAGGTGACTGTGAAGGCAACCATAACCATTTATAAAGTGAGGTATTACAAAAAATAAAAGGAGAAGGAAGGTTCACCTGCATGCTTTGAACTAAACGTTCAGAAGGTGCTGCTGGGAGATTTGCTTGTTAAACTTCACTGACAAGGGGCAGTCGTTCAATAGGCCCTTTCAAAAGTTCAAGTTCCGATGCATGTCTGCACCATGGGCTCTGCTGGAAGGGGTGTGGTGAAGCAAGAGGGGCGCCTGGCGAGTACAACAGACGGATGCTCTCATTCGCAGGCTGACCTTGCCCTTGTGATTCCTCTGTACTTGATCCCGGCCTGATGCCAATATAGGATCAGTACTAATAGAGCATGGGATGCCCACAGATGGCTAAAGCTGACAGGGGAGAGACTGAGGGTGCACGGTGGCCCCTTAGTCTATCGTCGACTTCCAGGCACTGACATCAGGTGACTCTTTCAGCCTGATCATCTCTTACTCCTTCTGCCTGAAGTGACCTTCCTTACTTTACTTTGGGAAATCCCACTCAGCTTTCCCTTATAGAATCCACTGGCATTTGTATTTTAAAGGAGGATGGCAGTTAATACAAATGAATCTGTAATGTGTGGGACTCCTGGCAGTCTGTGAGCCAGAAGCTAGTGTTTTAATCCTTCTGGGGAAATATTTGGCGTGCCTGGATCCTCAGGTCTAAGAAGAAAGCAGTTGGCTGGGTGGGATTTGCTTTACAAGTTAGCAGAAGCACTTCTAATTGCCAAAAGAGAATCCAGTTATCTTTGTGTGTTTTTATAACAATTATTATGGTATGAGGATGTTAACTGCAACAATGTTTATAGCAAGTAAAAATAGAAAATAACCCAAATGTCCATGACAGGGGATGACGAAGCAATACCAGGTGCTTTAATACTCTCAAATTAAAAGAAATTAGATGGAAGATAGCCCTATATACTCTGTATTACAAAGTTGTTTAAGACATATTTCTGAATGAAAAGCAAAATAGAAAAATAATATATCTAGTAGGAAATGAAATGTAAGAACAACCTCCCAAATTAATTTTGTATAGTTTTCTCAGCATAATTATTGCTGGCAAATGCAAAGTGTCTGGGGGCACCTGGGTGGCTCAGTCGTTAAGCATCTGCCTTCGGCTCAGGTCATGATCCCAGGGTCCTGGGATCGAGCCCCGCATCGGGCTCCCTGCTCGGCGGGAAGCCTGCTTCTCCCTCTCCCACTCCCCCTGCTTGTGTTCCCTCTCTCGCTGTGTCTCTCTCTGTCAAATAAATAAATAAAATCTTAAAAAAAAAATGCGAAGTGTCTGGAAGCATGCATACCAAAGAGATCACAGTTGTGCAGGAAAAGGGGGCAGGATAGGGAGTGATGATCTAAATTGGTTTTTTAAAGATTTATTTATTTGACAGAGAGAGGGAACACAAGCAGGGGGAGTGGGAGAGGGAGAAGCAGACTTCCTGCCAAGCAGGGAGCCCGATGCGGGGCTCGATCCCATGACCCTGGGACCATGACCTGAGCCGAAGGCAGACGCTTAATGACTGAGCCACCCAGGCGCCCCTAAATTGGTTTTTTAAACAGAAAACGTATGTATATATTTCTTTCATAATTAAATATTTTTAAGTGAAAAGCTCAACGTTCAATGGCAGCAGTAGAGTGCTTACAACATTAAAAACTGAGTCTGTGCTCATGAAATGCCACTGAGTCCACACACAGCCAAGGGCTTCTTGGGTGAAGGGCTGGAGGGACATTGCATTCTTTTCCAGTTTCATCTATACTTTACCTCTTGCCAACTTTTGAGTTGTCTACAACACAGCAAATAGGAATTTGATGGGATGAAGTCTTCTTTGAAGATGATTTCAGGCACCTGTACCCGCTAAGGGTCTTCTTGTCCTTAATGCAGAATGTATAGGGAGGCAATATGCCCATTGGTGGGGTTACTATTCATACCCTTCCCCCGACCTTTAGCCCGCAGGGCCCTGTGAGGGTGATCACTCCTCCACCTGTGAGCACCTTGCTTTTGAGAGCAAGGCATTCATCCTCCCTGCTGACGGCTGGAATTTATCTCTCTTCTTTACACAAGCTCACTCACTGCTGTGGATGCTTTTCTGGAAAAAGTCTGAATGGAACAGATGAAACCAGTAGATGTGGTAACTTAACAAAAATTTTTTTGGGTCAGACGCTATCATGTAATACCCACTTATATGAACAACGCTCCGAGAGTGGAGGTGAGCCCTAGGGAATAATCCTATGATTCTGTGATTAATAAACATCACTGCATTGACAAACATTTATCTATCTGAACACTTATTGCTGAATCACATTTTTTTAAAAGATTTTATTTATTTATTCAACAGATAGAGAGAGAGCACAAGTAGGCAGAGTGGCAGGCAGAGGGAGAGGGAGAAACAGGCTCCCCGCTGAGCAGGGAGCCGGACGTGGGGCTCGATCCCAGGACCCCAGGATCATGACCTGAGCCGAAGGCAGCATCTTAACTGACTGAGCCACCCAGGAGCCCCTGCTGAATCACATTTTTAATTGAAATTTTAATTTTATAGGGCATAGATGAAAAAATCCCATTGGATAATTTATTATGATTTAATCATTTCTGATGTTTTATTTTATAGGAGTCAGGGTTTACTTGAATTTCACATACTAAGTTTACCAAAGGAATGGGGAAACTTATTTAAGGGTAGCCTAAAGTGTGTGTGTGTGTGTGTGTGTGTGTGTGTGTATATTCTCAATATACTGAAGAATGAGGGTCATTGCCTACACTCTGCCTTATTCCAGTGACTTGAGTAGCATGTGGAATAATTTAGACCTCTCTGTATTGGGACCTCCCCTCATCAATACCAAAGAGAAAATGATCTAACTTCCTTGACTGACTGAGTTAGTGAAAAAAAAAAAACAAAAAACAAACAACAATTCAGAGACTAGCATTAGGGGTTCCCAGTGCCCTTTACAATGTCTAAACATGCTAGTGCATGTAAGTAGTAAAACGCAGTTCTCTGGCGCTCCTTCACCATTAAGTGTACTCATTTCAGCAGCCCCCTTTCTAGTTTCCCACGGTGCTGCATGCTGAAAGCCTCACTGACCCACTGCTGTAAAAATGTCATTTGTATTTTCCTCGGGTTTTATGTTATAGTACAAATAAGTCACAGCTTATTCCTATATTCAAAAGTTCTAGGAATCCGTAACCACAGAGATAAGAACATTTGAGGGTACAAAAGTCTGTGTTGTTTCCCTCCTTTAGAAGAGTAGTATATGCTATTATGGTAATTTTTTCTTAATTAAAAAACTTTTTAGGGGCACCTGGGTGGCTCAGATGGTTGAGCGTCTGCCTTCGGCTCAGGTCGTGATTCCAGGGTCCTGGGATTGAGCCCCACGTTGGGCTCCTGGCTCAGGGGGGAGGCTGCTTCTCCTTCTCCCTCTGCCCCTGCTCATGCTCTCTCTCTCTCTGTATCTCTGTGTCTCAAATGAATAAAATCTTAAAAAAAAAAAAAACTTTTTAAACATTTCAAATACAGAAGCACACAAATGGAAATGTGGATGTCCTCACCTCTGTCCTGCAGCAGGCATGAGAAATGAGAAGAGCAATTTTCAAATGGGACGGGTCTGCTAGTGAGGCGTCCCCCTTCCTCCTACCTCCCTTCCTTAGTTCCTCTCTTTCTCATGTTTTAAGATCAGGATTTTCAAATATACACAAATGAGAGGAAAGAGTATAATAAATACCCCTGCCCTCCATTAATTCACTTTCAAACATTTTCAACACCTGTTTTTTTAACATTTTAAAACAAACGTCATACATCATGTATCTTTAAAAGACAAGGTTTCAGGATGCCTGGGTGGCTCAGTCAGTTAAGCATCTGCCTTTGGCTCAGGTCATGATCCCAGGGTCCTGGGATTGAGCCCCTGTGGTGTCGGGCTCCCTGCTCAGCAGGGAGTCTGCTTCTCCCTCTCCCCCTGCTGCTCTCCCTGCTTGTGCTTTGTCTCTCTCTCTCTCTCTGTCTCTGACAAATAAATAAATAATTAATTAAATAGTAAGTTTTCTTTTTTTTAGTCATCCAAAATACCATTATCACACACAAATATATAACTATATTTAGTTAATACAATAAATATAAATATTTATACTTAGATATAACCTAATATTACCTGTGATAGTTAAGTTTATGTGTCAATTTGACTCGGCCATGTGTGCTCAGGTATTTGGTCAAACATTATTCAGGGTGATTCTGTGAGGGTTGTTTCTGATAAGCTTAGCATTCAAAATAGTAGACAGAGTAAAGCAGATTGCTCTCCCAATGTGGGTGGGCCTTGTCTAATATGTTAAAGGTCTCAACAGAAGAAAATGGCTTACCCTTTCCTGAGCAAGAGGGAATTCTTTTTGCCTGACTGTCTTCAAACTGGAAATTTGCCTTTTTTCCTGCCTTCACACTCATGCTGAAACACTGGCTCCTCCTGGGTTTTGAGCCTTCTGGCCTTTAGACAGAACTATACCATCAGCTCTCCTGGTTCTCATGCCTTCAGACTTGGACTACAAACAAACCATCAGCTCTCCTTGGCGTCCAGCTTGCCAAAGCACTTCGCAGATTTTGGGACTTGGGCTTGCCATTTCCATAATCATGTGATCCAATTCCTTATAATGAATATACACACACACACACATACACACACACACTCACACACACACACATGTATATATAAGATATCTATATATCTATATGATCTCCTATTGGTTCTCTTTCTCTGGGGATCCCTGATTAATACATTACCTAATCACCAGACCATATTCCATTTCTCCAAATGGCTCAAAGATGTCTTTTTACATACTGCTTGAATTTGAATCAAAATAAGTTCTGCAGGGGCGCCTGGGTGGCTCAGTCGTTAAGCGTCTGCCTTCGGCTCAGGTCATGATCCCAGGGTCCTGAGATTGAGCCCCGCATCGGGCTCCCTGCTCAGCGGGAGGCCTGCTTCTCCCTCTCCCACTCCCCCTGCTTGTGTCCCCTCTCTAGCTGTCTCTCTCTCTGTCAAATAAATAAATAAAATCTTTAAAAAAAAATAAATAAGTTCCGCATAATATTTTTAAAGCCTATAAACAGCAACTCCACTTGTGGAAAAGTCACAAAATGTTTTCTCTTTTATGGTATTTCTTAAATAATATTGGATAAGCCCTATAACTCAAAACATTAAACACAAACTTTTAGAATCTGATTCTATATATATAAGGATCAGAATGTATGCCTTAAACATATCAAGACTGGACATAGGAAGAAAATGAAACCCGTTTCAACTAACAGCAGCGTACTCTTGAAAAGTCAATGAGCTTTTTTGTTCATTCTATCTTCCGCATCTATAAAATAGGAAATGCACCTATGAAATATTTATTTGGCCTCCTTCACAGAGATGCAGTGAGCGGGGAAAAGGAGTTCACAGAAATAGTTCTGAAATGAAGTATCAAAAAGTGAAGAAATGTATAGATTATCATCATCATCTTCATCCAAGGAACCAGTTTTGTTTCTTTATTTGCAACTGAAGTCTTATTCTCAGATGAAAATTGCACTATTAATACAAATCTGGGCTGCATTACTAACATGAACAAAACCAAATGCATTGTGCTGTAATGAAAAAGGCCTGGTCTTCGATCAGACGTGGTTCTGTAAGTTTAACACCAGCTGAAAAACAGCAGAGGTTGACCTCTCAAGGTCACCACCTCAGACACTCACCCAGTACTGTTGAGATAACTCTGTCCCAAGCTGCAGTCCTTTGACAGAGAAGATGGATTGAACCAAAATGCTGGCAGACACTGACCATTGCTGTGTCGCTCATACCCATAGTCACTGTGGGGGAAAAAGCCAAGAGAGACCTTTCAGTACGTGGCACAATTACTGAGAACAGTTTCATGGTAGCACACAGCCAACTTCTACTCTAGCCAATGAGTCAAAAAACAAGAATTCACTAAATCAATACCTTTCCAAAAATGCAACTGTTCTTTCCCCTGTGGAATATCTATCAGTTAATTACCCATGACAATATCCTACGAGACCCATTTCCAGAAAAGCTGACGTGAAAGCAACAGAGAAGCCTGTGTAGAGACGGAGGCTCAATGACCAATAATTCCAAGTAAACGGCTTTAAGCTGAGAGAGTAGATTACGTGCTCATGAGGAGAGTCCATGATACTGACGGTGGCTGGGCCCCAAGAAAGCTGCAATTAGAAAGCAGGCAATGGTGGGAGCTCACGCCTCAGTGCACACATCACTGAAGCAAACACAGCCACTCGTGGCACGATTTCATTACCGGTGATGTCTTTGGGGTGCTCTTTCAAGACATCTGGATCTACTAAGCACAGCTGAGCCAGGTCTCTCTGTGCACGCTCCATATGCTTCAGAGTCACAGCACAAAAGGAAATGTCCTTCAGGGGTGTCACGGGCATTCCCCCAAGGAAAAGTTTCGTCCCAGTCAGTTAGCATCGTCAGTTGGGACTAACTGGTTTAAATCCCCTCTGTAGTTGGGAAAGAGTCAAAGACTCTATCCTCCGTCCCCTCTCTTTCTTGCCTCCAGGGGCCTCTGCATGGCCTAATACTCTTGGCTTCTGGAGGACGAACTTGGGCACAGAGGATGACAACAAATTGCACCTCCACATGCACAGACAAATCGCAGACAGTAACCAGCAAGCAGTAGTACGAATTGGCCCAACTGTGTAATGGAGGTGAGATGCTGGCACACAAGGGGCAGGAAGGGAGAAACAGGCTTAGCCAAGGGGCCTGTCACCAGGCAGCTGGCACTTAGAATTCTGCACACATCAGCTGCACTTGGTGCTGGTTCAACACAGCATGGATAGGAAGACTTCAGAAATGCTGCCTACAGGACACCCGGCGTTCATTTCAGGGAATTACTTTACAAATGCTGAAGAATGGCAGGCAAGGTCATGTGGGGGACTGTCCGGGGGACAGCCATGCTGAGAGGGAACATTTAGTGACAACTACCTTTTATTACACTGCAGTCAAGTAGAATCACCGAAGCTCTAGCTACTGTAGGTAGAGACTCAACAAGGTCATGGTGAGTCTTCCAAAATATTTTTAGAAATCATGCACTAAATAAAAATCCCATTTGACCAGAAAACCTTATAATGGCCTCATTTATGATTCATTACCCACTTCTCAGAATACATTTCAGTTAGTGGAATGAGTAGCAGATTCCAATCACAAATGAGTACAAGAATTGGGCCAAGACTGTAGGGGAGCGAGAGATAAGGGAAGGGAGAGGTCTAATTGCCTCCCTTACCCATGTTCTTTTCACTCTAGACTAGCTTAAAACTGGAAAAGAAAAACAACACATGACAATGACAACAACAAAAGACCAGCTTATTTTGGAACCTTGTAGAAAAATGTCCCCCCAAAACAGTATTTTCAGGAAAAATCGGGGAATCAGATGTCTCATCTCACTTTTTCTCTTTGCTTCTCTACCAGCATAAATGTGTACTTTACAAAAGCATGACTATATGGTAAGACTGAAGTTAAATGACTAAGATAAAATGTTAACCTCCTTTACAAACTCTCCTTGAACAGAGGGGATAAAGGAGAAGCAGTCAGAAAGAGGGATGGGATGAAGGACTTTAAAATTCCACGGAAGTTTTCCCTGTGACTGCATTTCAGGGTGTCAATCCTGAAAGGCAGGGCAGGGATAGGATACTTTTATCATTGTTAATAATGGTGCACTGGCTAAAACAGAAGTTACAGCTGGGAAGGCCCCTGCAGAATTCCTTGTGAGCTCCAATGTAACTGAAGTTCTGTTGCCCTCTGGCTGAGCCCAAGAGATACAGCACTGGCTCTTGGCTTGCCTTGTCTACTAACAAGAGGGGAACAGCCTTGGGTTATCAGACTGAGGACTGGTGGCCGATTCTGGCAGGCCTGCATAGGACTATTTATTCAGAGAATGTCTCCAGAGGTCTACCACGAGAGAAGACTTACTTTTTCTAAGCCATATGATGTGTATTGCACACAGTATCTCAGCTCACTCGCTGATATTTTGATGATCAGATAAGTGGTCTGTGATTGCTATACAGGCAGATATCCAATATTAAAAGAATGACTTTGGGGGCGCCTGGGTGGCTCAGTCGTTAAGCGTCTGCCTTCGGCTCAGGTCATGATCACAGGGTCCTGGGATCGAGCCCCGCATCGGGCTCCCTGCTCTGCGGGGAGCCTGCTTCTCCCTCTCCCACTCCCCCTGCTTGTGTTCCCTCTCTCGCTGTGTCTCTCTCTGTCAAATAAATAAATAAAATCTTTAAAAATAAATAAATAAATAAATAAATAAAAGAATGACTTTGCTTTCTTATGTGGGTCAAGTTTCAATCATTTAACATTGACATATATATTCAGCAATTGCTTTCTCTAAACAAAAACATATACATAAATTTAAAGTAAAAGGAAGAAAACAAGAAAAAAAGGCATTAAATGAGATGGAGATGATGCAAGGAGTTACCACCTACTTATCCTCAATCATTTCCAACCTCACCTGAAGGCCAAACCCCAACCTAGAACGGAGCAAGGGAAGCACTGACCCCACAGGCCAGCTTTCTGCTTACCAAAGGCTTCAGAAAGAATGCTATGGCGCTCAAATGTCTAGTCCTTTCCAGCTTATACTAGCTGAATCCTGCAAGAGGGACAAGTCTTCTGTACTACCAGGTCCACAGAATCACAGATTGCCAATGCCACTGAATCAATCCTCGCACTGAAGTCAAAAAAGTCTTCCACACCTTGCACAAGCAATCATCAGCTAACTAACCACTGACTGAAAACTTCCAGGGACAGCAAATCTACTGCCTTATAAGGTGATTGTTCCACTATGAGGAACCAAGAATCTAGGAAGAGTTTACCTTGAGCACAAATATATTTGCTGTCTAAAAAGTCAACTTATTGTTTTCAGTGTTGTTGTCTGAAGCAACTCAGGGTGGATGTGGTCTCTTTTTTTGTCCTAAGATCTATCAAATATGTGAAGCTAATTATCAGCCATCTTGTGAATCCTCTTTCAGTCCAAAGAAACTCCGAGTTTTTCCATATACACATGCACATAGCTAATAAACCATGTTGTCTTCAAGAGGTAATTTCACAAGAATATGAGGCTTGTGAGAGCATAGGTATATGCTACTATTATTTCAAATCTCAGCTTTCACTAAGACCCATGTGAATTTGATATGACTCCACAGAGTAATAGCACAAGCTTACCAGTCAAAATCGGCCTCTGTGCAGACACAGGGTTCAGATTCCATAGCTCCTGCATATTTTCCTTGCATACACTTACGCTCTGATTTTCGCTTCTTATATATCCTCTTTGCTCCCATGATGCATGCTTCCCCCTATAAGGACAAAAGGATCTCAGACAGTTGGACACATAGCTTGGACCTTCCCTGCTCCACATCAGGGGACTCGGGGAGATATTCCCAAGCCTTAGTGTAATCTGGACACAGGTAGCCTGCTTTGTGCTAATGGCATTTTATTTTGATGTCTAGAACCCTAGTGTAGAATGCAACTATAAAGACAATTCTAAGAAGCATGGAGGGTGTGTCAAAAAACATCCTTAACTCCTCATGTATTCAGCAAACCTTCGCTTATCAAGGTAGGAGGCACCGTGCTATGAGGGACACACAGTCAACTCAGACTCAGCCTATAACAAATGTATTGCCAACAAATCTATGGTAATTAAGTTCAATTCTTCTATAATAGAAGATTTATGTGCTTGGTCATTTATGAGCATATGAAAGAAGAGTATTGCTAAGAAATATAAAGATCTATTTTGCCTTGATTTATTATGCCTCTGCCCACACAGCTTTATAGCACTGATTTTAATGTCCATCTACCAGACAAGTTGAGAGAACTAAACTCAGTGTTTCTCTACAAAATAAATAAAAGCTTTGAATATCACAGTGCCTGTGGATCCCAAAAGGGAAAATAACAGTGATGTAAATAAGCAATAATTTTATTGTTGAGTCTCCAAAAAGAGTATATGATTCTAGCGGATGCAGCCCCAACTGTCAAACACAGCTTTCTGTCTGAAGGACAGAAAAGAGTTTTGTCTCTTGAACAAATTCACTTTAACCGGCTCCATCACACATACACATCTTTATTAAATATATTCCAGTTGACCCTTGAGCAACGCAGGAGTTAGAGGTACTGACCCTCTCACACAGTCGAAAATCCCATGTATAACTTCTGATTCCCCAAAAACTTAACTACTAATAGCTTACCTCTGACCGGAAGCCTTACTGATAACATAAATAGTCAATGAACACAGATTTTGTATATTATATGTATTGCGTGCTGTATTCTTACAATAAAGTAAGCCAGAGAAAAGAAAATGTCATTAAGAAAATCATAAGGAAGAGAAAATACATTTACAGCACTGGACTGTATTTATTGAAAAAAAAATCTGCATGTACGTGGATCCATGCAGTTCAAACCCACGTTGTTCAAGGGTCCAGTGTACTTAGCTTAGGTTTAGGGGTATGATGTGTCAGTGCCTGAATATGGTGATGGCTACGCAGGGGGAGCCTCTGCTACGTCCTTGGAGGGCCCTGCAGAATGACTTCCACCTTGGGAAATCAAAGGAAAGATGCTTTCAGCTAAGCATTCTGATACAAGCTGATCAGCTGAGGGGCCAGAATGAAGGAAAGTGTCCTATTGGGCGCCTGGGTGGCTCAGTTGGTTAAGCGACTGCCTTCGGCTCAGGTCATGATCCTGGAGTCCCGGGATCGAGTCCCGCATCGGGCTCCCTGC